TATGTTAATGTGAAATAAACGCTGCTAATAAGTTAGGATTTGCTTGAGGATGATGTTGAATTTGTTCTTCTCATCACTTGCTTGTTCAATTCGTTTTCGTCGCAATATTCTTGATCGATTGATTGATTTTGGATTGATTTTTGTCTTTCTGGAAAATTAATTAAAAGATATGTTGATATCCTTTCCTTCCATGTCAAACGTTCTTGATGAAAGGATCTCGAAATTGTTTTCTGAATAAGAAACCAATCAAAAAGACATTCATAAATCAACATATCTGCAGATATTGATTGTAGAAAATGAGAAATCTTCGAGCATCTAACTTTTAAAAACATTTAAAAAAATTTTCATTCAAATAGTAGTATTCGTGTTACATTTTATAAAATTATTCTCCATAGAAATATGTATTTTATATATAGATAAAATTTTATCTGATAATAACTTTTATATTTACAATTGAATTTTTCGTGATTTCTGAAAAAATTTAATTTCACGATTAAAATCACGAATTTCATTGTATAATTGATATAAGCAAAAAAAAAGATGAATTAATTATTATAATATTATATAATCATATTTATGAATATATTTATATATATTACAATTATGAATATTCAATCTTTTATACTTTTCTCTTAAACTTTTATTTTATAAAGAAAAAAAGAAAATATAAAAAATCGAAAAACATAACCATTTCATCACACAAAGAAAACGTGATGCTTTACAATATGTTTTTAATTTCACAATCTCAAACCTCGATTTTCAGAAAATCAATAAAAAAAAAGTTTATATTATCCAATAAATTTTTTCATTTCCAATTCTTCATTATTTGTACAAATTCATTTTAAATTTTAAAATTGTTTTTAATAAATTTATTGTTAAAATGGCTTATAAAAAAAATTTACTTACTTATTGTTTCCTAATTTTTTCGTTATTGAGGAAAATTCAAATAATTAATATGATTTCATCAGCGGAATAAATTATCAACATTATTTCGTTAATTCTTTCATATTTTTTTTTCTTATTGCATTACATTAAAATAAATAAATATTCTCACTCAAATAAACTCAACTATAAATAACTTTACTTTAAACTCAAATATATTTGAAAGATAATTTGAAATAAATCTTAAACAATAGATTTAAAATCCCAAGTTTTTCTTTTAGATTATTCATGTCATCTATTTGTTCACGAGTATACATTCGATAAAACTTTGTACATCGAATATTTCACACCAAACTAAATATATCATCGAATTCAAAATATATAATTTGTTCAATTGTATTATCAATATCAATAAATAATTTATGCAATTAATGTGATTTATGAATTCTATCATTCTTCTATCATTTTCACATATGAATTATATAACTCTACCTTTTTATATATCTGTATTGTTTTACCATTCTATCCTGTCATTGCCTATACGATTTATAGTAAAACAATTTTAGAACAATGCAGTTGCTCATCACTCTGTTTGTATGAAAAACAGTAGTGTTAGAGCAGATTTTTCCATAGATATTCGAACTGAAAATATTAAATTTTTTTTAAGTTTTTAAAGTTTTAAGTATTCATTTCGCTAATTTTAATTATAAAACATTGGCAAATAGATGACAGTTTTAGATCAAGTAACATCTATTCCACTAATTTCTGTAATTTTTCTCAGCATTTTTAATAGATAGTGTGCAATATCTTGGATCTAAAATTTAAAAATCTTTATTTCGTTAATTTCTTTACTCATAGCTTATGTTTCAGCATTCCTCGTAGTTAAGCTGTGGCTATATGAATGAATATCATTGATCTATAAAAATTGTATTCCTTCCTCTGAAAACAGAGTACAACAATTATAAGAATGAATGAATGAAATGATTAAGATGATTATTTAAGATTAAATTTTCGTAAGATAAATTTTCATAAGATTGTAGCCATTAGTTTTTTCTAGTATTCGAATACAAAAGCAAAATTATTTTAAAACTATGAAATTTCTTGCAGCTCATCCAACGATTTAACGTGAGATTAAACAGATTTAAAAATTGCATACTGATAAATGGATTGTTCTGCATGTTTGAAAACATTTGAACATTATATTACGTTTTCATCGTTATTTTTTCTTTCTGTAAAATTAAATTAAGTTGAATGTTGGTAATTAAAGGAATTAAAAATAGAAATATCTGTAATTTTAAGAGGATAACCTCAATCAATTTTTTGCAATTAAAGAAATTAAGAATAAAGATAATTGTAAATATAACAAGATTAATATATATAATATATATATTTTTTATCAATCGCAGTGCAAATTGATAAATCATAAATCATAAATTGCAATACATTTTAATTACAATTGCATAAATAAGAAAACATAATTTATTAAACAAATTTTATAAAATAACTATAAAGGAAATATATAAATAATGATAAATAAAATAATGATTAAAAATCAATAATATTATTAAATATAAACAAATATCTTAGCATAATTTATATGATATGATACTGATTATACATACAATAACTATATATACTGATATACAATATACATATATATAACTGATATACAATATCATATGTATAACTGATATACAATAACTACAATCTCAAAATAATATTAATCCAAATTGAAAGTTTTTGAAAGTTGGAATGCATATTAATTACAATTGCATAAATAATTTATTAAACAAATTTTATAAAATAACTATAAAATAAGTATAAAGTATAATAACTATAAAGTATATATATATATAATAAAATAATTATTAAAAATTAATAATATTAGTAATATTATTAAATATAAATATAAACTAGATACCTCAGCATAATTCATATGACAATACTGATTCAAAAAACTTTACTATTACATTTATACATTGTTTCATTTATAAAAATGTTCATAAAAAAGATTGATATAAATTTTAATGTTAAATATATATATTTTGTTTTTAAATAAATCCAGATATTTATATGCAAAATTTAATTATACAAAAAATTATCAAATTCACATAAAGACACAAGATATCGGGAATATAATATTCATTTATAATATATATTTCAATAAGTGAAGAAAATTTTTATATAAGATCTATTTTTTTTTAATTACATTTATAAAAATATGATTTCACATAAACATCCACAGCCTAATTTTAAGTTTGGATACTGATATTCGAAGAAAATGTTTACAAATGTTTTATCATATTTGAAGAAAAATGGAAAGTATAACAGAATAACAATTTCTAATAAGCAAAAATATAAGTCTTTTCTTTTCGAGCAATTATCAAATACTGACTGATCACGTATTTCTTCAATTGTACGTGCGTTATTATAAAATTGAAGGAAAAAAAAAAATAAGTTTGATTGACAGCTTTACACATGCATGAGAATACATTCTTTAAAATCCTATATAGATCTGCAAGAAAATTGCAGAAGGAAAATTACTATTCAAATAGTCAAATAAATATTTCCCTTTAGAAAATCGTAATAATTCATGCGTATCAATCGATGGATATTCTTACATTATAATGCACATCAATCGTTAATGTTTTATTTCTCTCTATATTTATTTTTTTTCAGAAAAATGCAATTCGTGAGACAGTTGAAAAATCATGAAAATACAGTCATAAGTATTACAACTATCGAAGAGAATGGATTTCAATGGTGACAAGTATTATAAAATTATAAGAGTTAGCTATAGTATATTCGGTTTATCTTCACATAAATACACTCGATTAAAGATACTTCATATTGCTGTTATATATTTAATATTTTCGATCGCTATATATTTAATAGTATGAAGTGATTTTTCGATTTCTTATTAAAATATATTTATTGTATTTCATGTTATCATTTTTGTGCTTATTAATATTATTAATTTTTTTTAATTACAGTTCGCTCCCACTTATACGAATATTTGTACTCAGCATGAAATATTAATATATGATTCGCAACAACTAATTGTGACAATTATAAGTTTCCTATCATATACTCTTTTGCTTTTTCAATGTGTAGACGTAAGTCTTGAATATCTTAGAGTTATTCTCTAATATTTCTTTTTCTTTTTTTCTTTCTTTTCGTTCTTTTCTTTTTTAATAATTCTTATCGTAAAGTTCAAGGATTGGTTAAAAAAAATAGAATTTAATTGGAATGAATTATGGAACAAAGAAGAATTTAGAATACTTAAATCAAATGCTCTGATTGGAAAACGTATTACACTTATTTATCTTGGTAAGAAGATTGGTAAGAATTTATTTTAAATCATTAAGAATGTAATATTTGAATTTTTAAATATTTCAGTTGCCGCTTTTATAATTTTTCTTTCTATTTTTCTGGTGATATGTTTTGAAGTTCACGTTACTTATATCGCGATATCTCTTAACAAGTCTCGATCATCTTTTATTCTATTCACTACATGTCATTTCTTCGAATTGTATAAAAATAATTATTTTGCTATTATTCTTTTAAATTACTACTACGTTTTTGTTTTATCAGTTCTTTTAAACCGTGATATTCTTTTTATAAATACTGTTGTGCATATATGTGGATTATATAAAATTGCTAGGTAAGTGAAATTTATTTATCAAATTTATCATACAAGAAATTTAAATATGATTGAATTTTGTTACTTTTTAGGTACCAATTGAAAGAAGCCATCTCTGGAGAACATAACATTATTCATAAAAAAATAAGAGAATCAATGAAAACATATAATTTCATAATAAAGTTAATATCTTTTTCATTTTGCAATATATAATATATACATATAATATTTATGATACATTTTTTTGTATAGAGAAAAATAATATGTCTTGGAATACAAAAACTATAATATTTACTAATGTATTGGCAATTAGCATTTAACATTAACATTTAATTTAATAAAAGATATCAATTTTTATTATTTTCTTATATAAGATCTTGACATGATTGACTTTTAACGTATGATATACATATGCTACTTCAACGAATTTCTATTAATTGAATATGTTTCGTAGGTGGATTAAATACGTGAATGATAAATTATTATACAATTATCTAGTAAGCTTTGCATTATCCATATTTGCTTTCGCAGCTTTAACCTTTAATGTAAATAAAACTAATATCATTAAAATCTAAGTAATCGAATATAATACTTGTAATACATTGCTTTTAGGTTTTCAATCGAGACTTTCACTTTAATTACATTTATATTATAAAGTTTTATATAATTATAATGTTTTCATGTTTCATTTTTTTCATTTATTACGTATCCCAACGTGTTCTCGACGAAACGTTCAAGTTTTTTGATATTCCGTAAGTACGTAAAATAATACTTTATTTTCCAAATTGATATTCTTCTTTGTGTTTTTACTTATCATGTGTCATATAAAAATATGCTAATCTTGTATTCAACTTATATATATTGATAACATATACAAAGTTAACAATAAGTACAAATTTAAATTCATTGCCAAATTACTTTCAAATTACTTTCAAATTATCACAATAAACATTACTAGTTTAGGTATATGTAGCATCCTTCCGTCTTTCAGAAATCCGAAAATCGGCATAAATAGCAGAAATTTAACATTTTACATAATATGATAGCTTTAATTCTTTCGAAATCTTAAAACTATTGGAAAATCAATAAAATCATCAATCTATTGTGTGATCAATCGTTATTGATCTATTCTATTTTAAATTTCGAGATTTCAGTCAATTTTTCGCGAAATTATTCCATTAATTATTCGCTTAGAATCTCGAAAGTTTAAAGATATATTCCATTGGTCATCACATTATTTAATTATTCGTATCTCAGAATAAGATAAAGTTTTGAACAAAAAATCATTTATTTTTCCAAAATTTTTCGATAGTAAAAAAATTGTACTAGAAATACATTTTTATATTATTTCATTTATATATTTTAATATTAATCTTAAACATTAATCTCATTTTTCTAGATACAATGGGAATTGGTATGATTTACCGTTACCCATACAAAAATTATTACTTTTTATAATACAAGGAAGAAAAAAACCAGTGTTATTGTCAATTTGTGGAATATTCGTGCCTACCTACAAAATGTTACTTATGGTAAGAAGTCTATTTTTAGTAGAAATTATAATTATTTAAATAACAAGAAGACGATGTTTTATAGCAATGCAAAATGACATGGTCCTGCTTCATAATGTTATATTCTATTCAAAAGTAATAATGTTAATTATATCTACATATTGTATTTATATATATCATCAAAAAATTTGTACGTTACTATCTAACAATTTAATTATTGTAATTACTGTATCTAACAATTTAAGAATTATTTTTAATATATTGTTTGTATTTAAATGATTTTCCATCTAAACTATTATAATTATATCGATATTTACAAGAAGATTTATAAAAATATATTCTAATATAAATTTCATAAACAATTTAATATCATTTTTATAGAAAAAAAAATCAAATAAATTGAGAATCAATTTATCATTATGATATCACAAGGAATATCGTTAACAAGTATATTAACAATTTCTTTTTATTTCGAGGAAACTAATTGCGTTAAGAAAATATTTTTATCATAGATCACATTATCATGATCATTGAATAGACATGGTAGCATCTAATGACACCCAATTCACACATAAATATATAAGATATTATACAAGATATTATATCTTTACATATATAAACTCAATACACATATTCTCAAAGTTTGAAAATTTTTCAAATTTGCGGGTGATCATTTTTGAAGATTTTTCTTTGTAAGTAGATACATTCTATATATTCTATATTTAAATAAAAAAGTAATAAAATTCTTAAAAGTATTCTTATGTTTAATTATATTTTAAGAAAATTCTTTTGCTATTATTTCTCTAGTAGAAATTATTTTCCATTAGAGGATTCTGCATTGAGAAAATATAACTTATTTTTATTAAATAAGGAAGTTTTTGTTAAATAAGGAATTATGTAATGTATGTATCCTATGTTACATTATGCTACAATTCTAAAGTAATTAGTTATTCATTTAACAATTCAATTTAAACATTAAGGTCTCATAAATATGTACGTAAATCAAGTACTTGTGGAATATTTATAATTTCATTTTGATATCTGAAAACAATAGTACGATAAGAATGAAATGCTAGTGAAAACAATAATCAAGATTTAAAAAGAAAAAAGAATTTTGAAGATATTATATGATATAAATATCATAAATACGCTAATATATTCAGTTAAATGATTCGTATTTCTAGCATTATCATCCTTTTTAAGATCGATGATCGTTACATAAAATGAGTAACTCACATAGAATAATAAGTTATTTATTATTCAAAATGTTAGATTGAAATAATATTGATTTTTGAATGAAAATATAGATACATTTATATTTTAATTATATTTTTTATATAAATATTTTTTAGCTACAATGCTAAAATTCTATTATTGTTTCACAAATAATTTTAAATTCTTTGAATCCAAAAATAAAAAATTTTGTAGGAATAATTGAAAAATATTTTACGAATTTAAAAAATTCAGAAAAAATTTTTTCAACTATTTAACAATTAAAAATAAATTGTTTTAAAATTTATCTTGCTTTTATTAATACTTTCTATATTATATATATATATATATATATATATATGTTTGATTAATTATATTTGAAGTTTATAATATTAGAAAAATAATTTTCTCTGTATTTTTTGTATCTTTGAATAATTAAAAATTAATTAAAAAATATTAATTAAATAAAAATAATTAAAAAACGATAAATACTCGAATTTTTTCTAACTCAATACAATTGATTTGCATTATTTTTCCGTTTCATGTCTATTTGTTTTATAAAAAGTTTTTTTATAAAAATACTTTTTATAAAAAGTATTTATAAAAAGTTTTATAAATACATCTCTTCGAATTATGTTTTAAATGAATTGGTTTTGTCGTTATACATTTATCTTGATAATAATAAAATTATACTGATAACATTATTTATAATTCATATTCTCAATTTATTTGATGATATTTATTTTTTAGCATCCTGAATTTCAATATAATTTTATACAACATTATGTCTTTAATCATGTGTATTCTTGAAAAAATTTAATGCAAAATCAAATTAAAAATCATAAAATTGTTCGAATGTTAATAATTGTATTTTTAAACATATATAAATTATTATATATATAAAATAATTATTAATATATTAATATATCACATTAAATCTGTCACGCATCTTTTTCTCATTACCACTATTTCAGGCCAAATTTATTAATCTTTTTTATTAATCTCCTTCAATTTCTTTTTATCACTCTTCTTAAACGAAAATCGAAATATTTTTACGAGTAATAAAGTTATCTTGAAGTTATCGAGAAGTTATCTTGTCAAGTAACCGAAAGATACTATTCATTGTAACGAATCTTCTTTTTCTCAATACGTGAAAAACAGAGAAATAAAACTAATAAAACAATGAAGGAAAATAAAAAAAAAAGCAAGAACAATAGTCAATATTATAATTTTCTCAAAATCAATGTCTATCGTGAGAAAACTCTTTGCAGAGGATAAAATCGATCGATTGCAATTTAGTCCAATTATTGCATATTATAATGTTACTATTCTAGAGAAACGATATCGTGAAAATATAAGAGAGAAAAATAATTGTGTAATAAATAATATATCAAGCCGAGGTGTAGTAGAATGATTTTTCGAGTTCTGTACGACAGTCGACATCTGACTAACAAAATGAATGTGTTCGATAAGCATTATCACACATATCGTACTATAATGAAAATCGTAGGACTATGGCCGTACAATAACTCGATTTATGTGTGGATTCAGCGATTATGGTTCTTAACGTTTCTTTTTGCCAATGTAGTATTTCAGGTAACGAAAATTATGATTTTTTCTTATGTAATTTTATCGTGTAATATACATTTATTATTATATTTTTACGTATAGAATAATCTTTTTTCCATAATTTATTTGTATATATAATCGAAAGTTATGCAATTTTAGTTTGAAAAATTTAATTGTAGAAAATTAAAATTTAAAAATATTTTTTAAGTGAAATTTTCAAAAATGAAAACTTCGAAGGAAAATGTTTATTTTATTTTATTTTATTTTTTATTTTTTTCAACTTATACATGATATTCGACCGGATCTACATGTTAGAAATGTGTAAAACATTTTAAAATCAATATCTTTATATTTTCTATATCATTTTTTTTTCGGTTTTATTTGTGACTTTTTATTTTTGTTTATAAAATAAACTTTAGACTAGAAATTATAACACAGTCATACCATTATTAAAAAAAATCTATTATTCAAGTTTATTCTAATTAACAAATAGAATATGTTTTATAGATTGTATCACTTTTAACTTCTGAAATTACTTTACAAAACTGTGTTTTAATATTGTCTACAACATGTCCACTTATAATAGTTTTGTTTCGATATATCAGTTTAATACTATTTTTTCCTATGGTGAGTAAAAGAAATTAAATTTATATTAAATAAATTCTTTTTGGAAAAATATTTCTACATATTATCTTTGATATAGATAAAACTTTTATTTCATCACATATGTATGGAAGAAGCTATGGTACAAGATTCAATAGAAGCACAGATACGAAGAAAATATATCGATGATTCCTGTTATATGATCGAGATTTTTTTCTGTAAGAAATACATAACTTGTGCAAAATTTGATTATATCAATTTATAACATTACCATTGTTATCGTAACCATTTAAATATTCGAAAATATTTGTATATTTGTATTATTTATGTTATATTTAAGTTTTTATTATATATTCTTTTTATATATATAAAACTATGATATTTGTAATCTTTTTATTTTTTTAATATTTTTGTAACAAGAATTCTTTTTTTCTTTTTTTTTTACAACAAAAATAGTTGTTCAACATCAGCTTTAATTATTGAATCTTTCTAAACTTTAGGGATGACTTATGCAACTATTGCATTCTGCAGTATATTGTTATTGTATCCTATAATATTGGATTTTATAATGCCTTTGAATGAATCTCGTATACGCATCGTTCATTATATTACAATATTTTCTGATGAAAAAATCATATATGTTGATATTCTTTGCTTGAATTATATGCTTCTTACGATATTAGTAATATTATCTGCAACATGTACGGAATCGATACTTGGACTTTATAGTTATCACACAAGCATGTTATTTAAAATTATAGGGTGAGTAAAATTGTCGCATTTATTTCACATGATACTTATTATGTTTCATACATTTATAAAAGTACAATTAACAAGATATGATCGCAATCTTCATAAACATAACGCTATTTGAAATATTATTTTTTATTTTTTATGTAGAATATTAAGATGTTCGAAAGAACATGTTGTGATAAAATTATTGAAATTAAATTGAAATATTATTAAAATTATATTATTAAAATTAAATTGAAAACAGTGAGATGATTTCAAGCAACTTATTTTTATCCAAATTTTCATTTCGGTTTTATTAACGGATTATTAACAAAAAATGGCCAATTAATGGCCAATCATAGATATAAATTTATCATGTTGCAACAATTAGTATTGTAACAGTAATAACAGTATTGTATATGTCAATTAGTCAGACTATTATCTATTTACATTTATTCGTAAATTTTAAAAAACATTAAATAAAAACTTTAATATTAATAATAAAAATAATATATAAAAATAATATAAAAATAAAAGTTTTATTTAATAAAACTTTTTAATTTGTATTTTAATCAACTTTTTAAAATAATTAAACGCGAACTATAGCGCGTCTATCTATTAATATTATTATCTATTTTATATATTTTATAAAATTGAGTTGAAACTATTTGGTATCGAAAGTGACTTAGAGAAGAATAAAAAAATGAATTTTGAAAGTTTATTATTTAAAAAAACTTGATATTAATAGTAAAAAAATTTTACATAAAAGTTCTGATTAATAACTTTGAAATTGGTGCTATTCGTATTAATAATAATAAAAATCATTGTAATTATCAATAGCAGCTAATAGCAATTAATTTTTTTTTATTTTAAAGCTAAAGTTTTGCTCTTTATAATGAGAAAGAACACTAAAACTTTATATCAGAAAAAATATTAAACTCTTTTTTAAAATTAAAATTAAAAATAAAAAATATTAAATAATGTATAATTCTAAAAATATCAATAATATCAAAATGAAATTTGGTACAATACAAGTACATATCTAGTACACTTACTTCGATTAAAAATAAAAAAATAACAAAATTGTAAATAATAATTTTATTTTTGAATAATTCGAAAATTGACTTTTTTAAAGCCATGTAACTATGTTAACAATTGAAAAATATAAAAAAAATTATACTGTGGATCAATGTTCAATTAATTATCAGTATAACAATTTTTTTATTTCGTATTTATGAAAAGGAATTTTTTTCTATTTTTGATAAATACTCTACCGTGGCGCTAGTGATTTGTTGACCTAACATTATTGTTGCAATATAGTAGTATCTATGCGTTTTGTGATCATTAATAATTCATTATAATAAAATCAAAACGAAAATTTTCACAAAAAAAAATAGTTGTTTAAAATCATCTCAAGAATCACAATTTAAGTTTTGATACTATTAAAATTTACTTGTTAATCAATTTTTAAAATTTTTGAATTTATAATTTTATATATATAATTGACATAAATATATATAATAACAAAATTTTTAAAATTTTTGTTAAAAAAATTGAAATAAAGATCTTTTATTATTTTCTTCCGACAAAATTTTTTTCAAAATTTTTGTTATATATTATCTAAATTAAATCCGCCAAAAAAAAATCAATCAAATTATTAGTTAAATTTTAAAAAAATTATGTGTTATACCAATATTTTATCGATTAATTTTTTTTAATGTGTTATGCTCTGTTAGATATACATTGAACAGAATAAATTTAAATTATAAATTATATTTTCTTAAAGAATATTTTTTTGTAAATGTTTCAGCCATCGAATACAAAAGATTGTTATGTATTTGACTATATTTAATCTCTCATCGAAACAAATTGATTCGAAACTTCCAGAGCTTTATCGCATAGTGGACATTCATAATCAAGCTATCGAGTTGGTAAATTAAAAATATGATTATATTATAGATTGATTTCACTGATACTTATGTTAATATTTCATTTGCAAATTTCATATGGCAATAAAAGACTCGTCGATATCATGATAAATAATTCAGGAATACAATTTATGATACCTAGTCTTCTAAGCGTGATTTCAGTAGCGATAAGCTTGCATCGAGTAAGTAACTTTTCTTTCTTACACGATAATGAATTCACAGAAATTTCAATATTTTATTTTACTTTGTTCTCGCATAATTATCTCCCAAATTTTTATATTATTTAAAAGATATATTTTATAAACTTATTGTTCAAGAGAAACGTCTATTGGCTATAAGATTTGTTTAGAAGGAGACTGAACTTTTTTTTTTAATAAAAAAAAATATTTTTTTATTTTGTAAAATTGTATTTCAAAATTGTCTAATTATAATCTTTGAGAATTAAGAATCATTCAAGATCATTCAAAAACTCTTCATTAACTGAAGAAATTCAAAAAAAGAACCTTGCACATTGATGCAATAATTTATTCTATATCTAAATGATAATTTCATTCTCTTAAAAATATCATAATTAATTTAATAGATATCTCGAAAAACTTTTTCATTTATATTAATACTTAAAAAAAAATTTTCTTAAATATTGTGAAATAGTAACTTTAATAAGATATTTACAATAATTGATAAACGTATTTATTCGTATTCATCATATTAACGAGTAAATTTAAAAATTCGAAAATGAAAAGAATTTTTTAGCTTTATATAAAATAAAATTTAAGCAATTGTGAGTGATTTTGAATGACATTCAAACATCAATATAATTCATTCAATAAATTTGTAAATAGATTAAATTTAAAATAAAATAATTTAA